GAGCAGGGAGCCCGATGCGGGGCTCGATCCCAGGACCCTGGGATCATGACCTGAGCCGAAGGCAGACTCTTAACGACTGAGCCACCCAGGCACCCCATATGTTAACTCTTAAGTTTAACTTTCTGAGGAACTACCAAGCTGTTTCTCAAGGTGGCTGCACCATTTTACATTCCCATCAGCAATGTTTGAAGGTCTGAATTTCTCTATATCCTCACCGACACTTTTTATTGTCCATCCTTTTTTTTTTTGTTAAGTTTTTTATTTATTTAAGTAATCTCTAAATCCAATGTGGGGCTTGAACTCACAACCCAGAGATCAAGAGTCGCATGCTTTTCTGACTGAGCCAGCCAGGCGCCCTATGTTGTCCATGTTTTAAAAAAATTTTTTTTAAAGATTTATTTATTTTAGAGAGAGAGAACATGAGTGGGAGAGGCAGAGGGTGAGGGAGAGAGAATCTCCAGCAGACTCTGTGCTGAGCACGGAGCCTGACATGGGGCTTGATTTCACATGTCCCCAGCCGAAACCAAGAATAGGATGCTCAACTGACTGAGCCACCCAGGTGCCCTGTCCATCTTTTTTATTCGAGCCATTCCAGTGGGTGTGAAGTATCTCGCTGAGTTTGATTTGCATTTCCTTGATGAATAATGATGTTAAGCATCTTTCCATATACTTATTGGCTATTTTTATATATTCTTTGGAGAAATGTCTATTTAAATCCTTTATGCCTAGTTAAAAATAGAGCTACCCTATGACCCAGCAATTGTACTACTGGGTATTTACCCCAAAGATACAAATGTAGTGATCCGAAGGGGCACCTAAGTGGAGTTGTTTCACTAAGTTAATTTATTGTTTTTTTTTTAAAGATTTTATTTATTTGAGAGAGAGAGAATGAGAGAGAGAGAGAGCATGAGATGGGGGAGGGTTAGAGGGAGAAGCAGACCCCCCGCTGAGCAGGGAGCCCGATGAGGGACTCGATCTCGGGACTCCAGGATCATGACCTGAGCAGAAGGCAGTCACTCAACCAGTTGAGCCACTCAGGTGCCCTAATTTATTGTTCTTAATTGTGAGTACTTGGAGGAGATTATTGTTTGGTTTTGTGTGATAATTTTTATTGTATATTTGGTATTTAATGTTTTTTGTAATTAAAGTATTTATAGAATATATTATATTCTGTTATGTAAAATGAGAAATTGGTTTGCTCATTTGCAGTTCAAATTGTATTTAATCATAAGTAAAACTTTAGCAGTATTGTACCATATAATATATACTCATTACTTATTTTTCTTTAATTTTTTTTCTTTTAGTACTAAAGATTTAACTTTACAGAAGAATGCAATCAAGTTATGGCTTTTTCTTTAGAATTTGAATATGGAGGCCACAGGAACAGATGAAGTTGACAAGCTAAAAACTAAATTTGTATCTGCTTGGAACAACATGAAATATAGTAAGTATCATTTAAAAATTGTATACATCTAAAGAAATATTTGAAGACAAATATCATCTGCCTTATTAAGTCACTCACAATTGCTTAAGTTTCTCTTTGAATGAAATATTTCTGTAAGGAATGTGGATAAGCCTATATCCTTAAGAAAGAACCACATATCATCATAAACATTGTCTAGAAATTCAGGCATACTATGTGGTCCTTTTTTCTTTGAACATTCAGAAGCAGAATTTATTTAAGTGAGGATAATACCTCAGTTTTTCAGACTCAGTTTCAGGCAACCAGGAAGCAAGCAAAATAGACCTTTGAACACACAAAGCAGACAGTATTATGTTTCCATACTGATACCTATGAATTTCTCTTAGGAGTACCCTTAGACCTTTATTTTTAACTTACTTATTCTTGGTTTGCAGACAAATCCAATAAGGATCATGTGGTGGTTTTGAAACCCACCTTGGACTAGAAACAAATTAGAGATGAAGAAACTTTCAAAGATGGAGAAATACTTAGCAGAACCAGTTGCAACAGGAAGAAGTTCATATCCATAAAATAGGAATGATAACATTTAGCAAAACCCCTTCATAATGCAAATTTGGGTAAAACACAGTTGACAGTTGGCTCCTGGTTCACTGGAAGGCATGGCCAGCTAGCTATTTAGATAGTTATAACTTGATAATAATGAAATATTTCATTTTGAAAACTATGGACATTGATTTTTTAAAAAATTGAGATATAATTTACATACTAAAAAATTTACCCTTTTATGATTCAGGGGTTTTTAGTATATTTATAAGATTGTACACCTTCATCACTATCTAATTCCAGAACAATTTTATCACCTGTAAAAGCAAGCCCGGACCCATTAGCAGCTACTCCCCATTCCTCCCCACATCTCTCCAGCCACTGGCAACCACCAGTCTATTTTCTGTCTCTATGGGTTTGACTATTGTAGACATTTCATATAAATGGAATCGTACAACTTGTGGCCTTTTGTGTCTGACTCCTTTCATTTAGCATAATGTTTTTGAAATTCATCCATATTATAGCATGTATTTATCACCACTTCATTCCTTTATGTGACTGAATAATATTTTATTGTATGGCCATACCGCATTTTCTTTACTCATTTATTAGTTGATGGACATTTGGGTTGTTTTTGACTTTTTGGCTAATACAAATAGTGCTGCTATGAACATTATGTACCAGTTTTTGTGTGACTATATCTTTTCGGTTCTCTTGGGTATATACCTATTAGTAGAATTGCTGGATCATATGTTAACTCTTTTTTTTTTTTTTAAAGATTTTATTTATTTATTAGAGAGAGCAAGAGAGAGCGAGTGCACACAGCAAGGGGAGGAGCAGAAGAAGAGGGAGAGAGAGAATCTCAAGCAGACTCTTGCTGAGTGTGGAGCCTGATGTGGGGCTCGATCTCATGACTCCAAGATCATGACCTGAGCTGAAATCAAGAGTCAGACACTTAACCAACTGAGCCACCCAGGCACCCCTTTGGAGACATTTTTAATGGATATGTAATCAATCATGTGGATGTACATTTTATAAACCTTTCTCCGTACTTCTCCAAATTTTGTTAAATTATGCAGTTTTCTGGAGGAAAATTTCTAGTTGTCAGTGACAAAATTTCCAATTGATAGACTTTTACAGCTTGTAAAAGTGCTACTAGTGATATACCTTATTTATCTATTCACTGATTCATTTAATAAACATAATTTGAGAACTAATCACATGCCAGGCAGAACTCAAGGACACTCAAAAAGTTGACCATCTAGTTTAAGAGGTAAGAAGTAATTACAGTACAGTATGATGAATGCCATGATAGAGGAGGACATAGGATCCTATGGGAGTTAAGAGCGGGACATCTCTTTTAGTTTGAGGTATGGAGGTGGGTAGAAATCTTACAAGTCTGACCAGAGGAGGTGAAACAAGCTGGGTCTTAGAGACTCATGATAATAAGATAGTCAAAAAGTGAGGGTGAGCAGGAAGGCCTTTTAGGTTGAGGGAGTGGCACATGCAAAGACATGGAAGCATGTCCAGTTTAGGAAGCTTTAATATTAATATTAAAAATGGCTTCGGTGAATGGTGCAGTAAGGGAGTGGCAAGAGAGGAAGCTAAGTAAAAGGGCAGATGTAATTTCTTTTTTTTTTTTAATGTTTTATTTATTTATTCGTGAGAGTCAGAGAGAGAGAGAGGCAGAGGCAGAAGCAGAGGGAGAAGCAGGCTCCCCGCCTGGCAGGGAGCCCGATGCAGGACTTGATCCCAGGACCCTGGGATCATGACCTGAGCCGAAGGCAGACGCTTAACCATCTGAGCCACCCAGGCGCCCCAGATGTAATTTCTTGAAGGGCCTTGAATATTCTCAAGGCTGAAGGTGTAAACATAAGGCAAAGTCCTTGAAGAACATGTTTGTAGCTCTAATTCTCATTTATACATCAGCAGTTCTCAATAGCTCCCACTCAGACCTCACCTTTAAGCTCCAGATCTATATATCCAACTGCCTAGTTGGCCTCTCTAGAATATATCTAGATTCTAAGCTCCATGAGAGGAAGTATTTCACTGCTTTTGTCCTAAGCTGTATCTGCATTGCCTTGAACAGTGCCTGGCAATAACTTATTGATAATTAAATAAATGGATGATTCTTTAATATATCTCTCAGAGACATCTCAAACTATATATAAATTAAATTCATGATCTTCCTTCTCTAACCTGAATCTCTTCTGATGCTCCCTATTTCAATGGTTGGCACCTTTTATTTAGTTTCACAAGCCAGGAACATGGGTGTATCTTTGGCATATCTATCTTTCTTGCCTTCTATATTCATTTAATCACCAAGACATTGAATTTTTTTTTTTTTAAAGATTTTATTTATTTATTTGACAGAGAGAGACACAGCGAGAGAGGGAACACAAGCAGGGGGATTGGGAGAGGGAGAAGCAGGCTTCCCGCTGAGCAGGGAGCCCGACATGGGACTCGATCCCAGGACCCTGGGATCGTGACCTGAGCCGAAGGCAGTTGCTCAACCGACTGAGCCACCCAGGCGCCCGCCAAGACATTGAATTTTTGACACATTTCCTTATAATGTCTATTTATCTCCCTCTCTGTTGCTCCATTCCAAGGTATTATCATCTCTCTTCTAGTCCTGTAAAGTACTGGTAAACTCTATAATCATGTACTCTTCTCCTTTGCAATCTATTCTTTGTGCTGCTCTGGGAGTCAGACCCACAGAATCAGATTCTAATATTCCTGTTTGAAACCAATTGTTCTTAGGATAAACAACAAGATTCTTAGCATGGTGTACAAGGCCGTGTGTGCTCTGGCCCATGTCAAACCTATAGCCACATCTCAAGCCCCCTTTTTGGATTTTTTTGTGCTCTAGTCATACTGACTTTTAAAATTTTTCCAATGGACCATGCTTTCTCCTGCCTCAACTGTACTGTATCATTAGTAGCTTTTAGTACATATTATAAAATGGAATGTATTGTTAGAGAAATAAATGTATCAGTACTTTTGAGTAGATATTTATAACCCTAAAAGAGCAGTGTTCTGTGCAGCATTCTTTTTTTTCTGTGCAGCATTCTTTTCTTGATAAGTAAACTATCTGAATTATTGCAAATAAGCATAAGCATTTTAAGGTATAATTTGTTCCTTTTTCAGATTATATTGCACATCTCAATTTTCCCTCAAGTCAGTTATAAAACAAATATCTGTAAGCTACATTTATTTTTATTTTAAAGTAAGAAAACATCTTCTGTTGTAGATTTAAGCCATTCTATTTTTTTAATAAGATTTATTTATTTGAGAGAGAGAGACTGCATGTGTGAGCGGGGCGGGGGAGTGGGAAAGGGAGGGGTAGTGGGAGAGAGAAAGAGAGAGAATCTCCAGCAGACTCTCCACTGAGTGCAAAGTCCCA